GATACACTAGAGTCAGGGCTAAAACAAACAGCTAAGGAAATAATAGGGATTCAGAAAAAAGAGAAGCCAAGAAATGGTTCACAGAAGCATGTGAAAAGGCAGTGGAGGAAAGAAGAAAAGTCCTCTGCTTAGCACAAACTGATCAAGCTATGCTTGACAAATACACAGCCGCCAGGGAAAAGACAAACAAAATAATAAGAACAGCAAAAAGATAATTCCTCTAAGAAAGATTACAAACTATTGAGGAAAACTAGTAGACTGGAAATATATGTGAATTCTTCCCAGATATCAGGAAAGAAAGGGTAGGATATAAAGCGAGAAATACACAAATGCGAGGAAAAGATGGCAAATTGATTACAGAGACATAGCACTTCTTCCAGTTGCCTATAAAATAATGACTAATATTCTACTAAATCGGATATATCCGTATTATGAAAACATAATAGGTGACCATTAAACCGGATTCAGGACAGGGAGAGTACGCTAGATCAGATATTCATCCTAAAAGAAATATTTAAAAAACAATGGGAAGTAAATCAGGATGTGCACGCCTTATTTGTCGACTTCAGAGCAGCTTATGACTCCGTGGACAGAAACTGTCTCTGGAAGATCATGACTGAGCTGGGTGTTCTCGGGAAGTTAGTGAGGTTGACAAAGGCATGTAAAAATTATCTCCAGCCTTCTCCACCTCTGCCTATCTTGGGCCACTGCCGTATCTTTGTTTATCCTATCTATCCATCTGGTTTTTGGCCTCCCACCTGGTCTCTCGGCGATTACTCTGGCATTCATTGTTGTGTAAAGGCATCCTGATGGATTACTACGAGCTGCATGCGCATCTTAACCTCCTTTCCTTCATATCATGAGATATTGACTGACCTGTTTCTTTCAGCAGTTCTTTATTGTATCTTCTCCTCCATGTGTCAAGGTTCCAGGCCCATATAGGTCCTGTTATCCAACGTAGAACTTTTCTTTCGAATCTCTCAATTCTGGCTTCTAGTGTGCCGGTTAGAGCTCAGGTTTCACAACCGTACAGCAGAACTGGCTTAATCATGGCGCTGCACACTCTTATTTTTAGATTTCTGGAGATTTTTCTGGATTTCAGTACCCTTGAGAGAGAGAAGAAAGATCTGTTCGCACTTGTTATTCTCTGGTCTTCTTCTATTAGTTGATCATTTATTGAGGTTATACTGAAGCCGAGGTATTTGAATCTGTCTACTTTCTGGAATGACTTAGAGTACATGCAGATCATATTATTAGGATGAATGTTTTGGCTAACAGTCATGTATTTCGTTTTATCTACATTGACTTGTAGTTAGTCCGATTTGCTCTGCTTCTTTTAACAGACCCAGAGACTTTAACTGAGCAAGTCTCTCAAAATCCTCTTGATTACTTCCCAAGCCAGCTATATCAGCCGCATACGCTAGGATTTTGTGTTTCATTCTAACATGCACCCCTCCATCTTCGCGTGATGTTCTTATTACTTTCTCTAGTGCTAAGTCGAACAGCATCGACGAGAGTCCATCTCCTTGCCTCAAACCCATTCGAACTTCAAATGCTTCAGATACTTCTCCTTGTATTAATACCCACCATTTAGGATCATTTGCACATGCCTTCGTCAACCTCACTAACTTCCCGGGAACACCCAGCTCAGTCATGATATTTCAGAGACAGTTTCTATCCACGGAGTCATAGATTGCTTTGAAGTCGACAAATAATGCGAGTACGTCCTGATCTACTTCCCATCATTTTTCAAGTACTTGTTATAGGATGAATATTTAATCTAGCGTACTCCTCCCTCTCTTGAATCCTGTTTAATGGTTGCCTATTATGTTTTCATATTACGGATATATCCGATTTAGTAGAATGTTAGTCATTATTTTATAGGCAACCGGAAGGGGTGCTATGCCTCTGTAATTGCCACATTCATACATCGAGCCCTTCTCAAGGATAGGACAGATCAACCCTGTGTTCCATGCTTCTGGTATCCGTTCCTTCTCCCATATCTTCTGGATTAAATCTAAAAGCTTGGCTCTGAGGTCTTCTCCCCCATCCTTGAACAATTCTGATGGTTGGTTGTCTATCCCTTGAGCCTTTCTTCTTTTAAGTCTGCCGATAGCTATTTCCACATCCAGAATATCTGGTTTTTCAATCTCAAGTGGGTCGATATCCTCAGTGTGGTCCATGTTTTCTTCCTTTGTGGGGTGCCCTTGATTAAGCAGCTGCTGGAAGTGTTCCTTCCAGATGCTTAGGATCTTTTCTTTTGATGTCGCCAATTTGCCTTCTTTCCTAATATCTGCGAAGAATTCGCATATATTTCCACGATGCCAGTTTTCTTCTATAGTTTGTAATCTTTCTTTGAGAAATTCTCTTTTGGCTATTCTTATTATTTTGTTTGTCTTTTTTCTGGAGGCTATGTATTTGTTCAGCATTCCTTGATCAGTTTGTCCTAAGCAGAGGACTTTTCTTCTTTCCTCCACTGCCTTTTAGCATGCTTCTGTGAACCATTTCTTGGCTTCTCTTTTTTCCTGAATTCCTATTACTTCCTTAGCTGTGACTCTAGTGCCTCCAGTGTTGGTCAACCATGAGGCCTTCCATGTTCAAGGGTTCAAATTTATTTTTCATCGCAATTTGGAATTCAGCTTGTACTATAGGGTTTCTCAAATTACAGACTTCGTACCTCTTTCTTTCCAATTGATCCCCGATTCGGTGGATTCACTTCAACCTCTGTCAGAGTTAGATTCTAATCAGAGTATGGTCCGAATCACAGTCTGCTCCATGATAACTCTTGCTCTTCACGATTTGGCTTTTTGCTCCTTCAGGGCTTACCCAGGTATACTTATGTACGTCCTTGTGCAGGAACATTGTACTGCTTACTACTAGACCTTTATCTGCTGCCAGACTAATACATCTCTCTCCATTGTCATTGCTAGTTTCATGGAAACTTTGGCCTCCGATGATTGGTTTAAATTGGATTTCTCGACTTATCTTGGCATTGAAGTCTCCCATGATTAATTTTATGTCATATTTTGGAGTCTGGTCCACAACTTTTTCTGATTGTAGAAATTGTCCTTCACTCATCTTCTTTTTCTTGGGTTGGTGCATACATGTTAATAATCATGATATTAAACCAACGACCTCTTACGCGCGCAGCAAACTTATCCTATCATTAACTATAAATCCATTGCCAGCTGCCCATTCTTCACAGTCCCATTACCTCCTTTACCTACTTCTCCTGCTGATACTATCATTCGAATGGAGTGGAGATATGAATGTTTGTGATTAAAAAAATGAAAAAAGAAGCAAAATGTTTATCTTATAGCCTCCCTCTAAATATTCAGAAAATATTTTGAACCAAGAAATTCTATTCCCATATTTTATATTTTAAATAAAGAAGGTACCTTTATCTCTACCAACAACTGTCTTCACACTAAAGAAGGGAGCTTAAAGAAATGGACTCTAATGTCAGGTAGTAAGTAAGTGATAGAAAAAGAATAGGAAAGTGTAAGGAATGACTGTGCATACCACCCTAGATTTGCTAAAAAGTGTGGAAGAGTTTGTAAAAGTTGCAAAATAGAGACAACTCATTCCGCAAGTAGGACATCGTAAGTCTTGGTTGAAGGGATTTTCAAGTTGTCTGGATGTTTTCTACTTGACTGGATGCCTCAAGCCACAGGTGGATCTACGGGGGAGAGGGAAGCTTTGGGCTGAAGTCTCCCCTCCTCCCTCAAATGGCAAATATAATCATGTTTTATAGGAAAACATTATCTCTTAAAGTATTATTGTTCGTGTAATTACATTTAATAGGATATCAAGAATTACTTGAACACCATTTCATATAGGTAGTTAGTTTCTTTCTTTCTTTTCCTAGAGTAATTATCGTTATTTATATATATATATATATATATATATATATATATATATATATATATATATATATAGATAGATAGATAGATAGATAGATAGATAGATATTAAAAAAAAGCTTTCGGTTTGAACCCCCCCCCCCTCTCCTCAAAAAAAAAATCAAATCCTGGATTCGCTAGTGCCTCAAGCTGTCATCACTCTCCTACTCTTTTCTCCATCTATATTAATGACCTTCCTGATTCCATCCATCATTCGCAATACCATTTATAAGCTGACGATCTCCAAATCTACCTTTCCTGTCATTCTACCTAGATGCTTGTGGCGATTCAATGGCTACAAGAAGATATAGACAGTATTGACACATGGTCAGCAAGTAATGATTTGAGGTTGAATGTTGACAAGACAAAAGTCATTCTCACTGGTTCCAAGAATCTTATTAATTCCATTCCTTATTATCTCCTACCTTACCTTAATGGGTTACCTATTAGCTTCCACACTTCTGTTAGAAACCTTGGAAACCTTATGTACACATACTGATATTTATTTATCAATAATTTTATTAGTTTACTTATGCTTATCTTTTTATATTAATTCTAAGGTTACATCAGACAAATGATGCTTCTATTTTCATTATTATTATTCTCAGGGACTAAATGTCCCAGGATAAAATATACTTTTCATTTTTCTTTTTCTTCTTAAAGTAAAAATACCCACACAGTTGAAAATGGGATAATAACATTTTAAAGTTTCCTTTAGGGTACCAAAGACTGAGTTACCATTTCTTTTCCTTTTTTTTTTACTAATAAATTGTTTTAGAGATCTTGAAGAATATCACTACTCAAAATGGGGTTAGATTTTTGGAATGGGGAGGGATTAAATGTTTTTAATCTCGTCTTTTATGATTTTTTTAGGGATAGAGTCTTTTACTTTTATTTAAAGTGTTATAAATGCACTAAGAGCTGCATTATTGTTATATATTGCATTTAAAAAAAAAATACCAATATTTTTTTGCTTCACAAACTAAATTTAGAATTTTATTAAATTGGAAATGAATAAATCGATGCTAAGTCATTATTATTGTTTTTTATAGTATTTAGTGCCTGGCTAATTAACATTTCATTTTATGAATAATTTCAGAACCTATAAAGCTGATCTCAATACTTCATCCAATGCAGCTTTATCTTCAGAACCTTGTACATCTGCAGAACCTGAAACCAAAATGGATGTTGATGAGGTATTTTTATTTGTCAATATAACATTTTTATTTATTAAATCAATTTTTAAAACTTTAATTGAAATAGAATGTGTAAATATTCTGATCATAAAATGACATGATAGAATAAAGGGAGTAGGTTTACTATGGTATAAGGCACCAGTTAATCCCATAGTTCCAAGTAGTATGTTATATAATGGTGTAATTATTATGAATGTTTCATTTCGTGAATTTTTTTAGGCTTTGAATACTTAAAAGTAACTTAAACTTCAAAATATACCTACTTTACTTCCATTGGTGCACAACCCTTGTAGGGCCTTGGCTTCCTCAACGATGTCTCTCCAATCCTCTCTGCCAGCAGCCGGGCTTCTCTAGTGTCCAACTCCCATCCTCTGCAAGTCATCCTTCAGAACATCAATCCATCGCTATTTGAGCCTTCCTCTCCTTAATTTGCCTCCTGGTTTGCCATATAATTGTTGTTTTGGGTATTTATCTTCTATCCTTTCTACATGCCTCAGCCATCTTATAAAGCTTGATTTGACATAAATTGCACTGTCTGGTTCATTATGTAGTTCCCGAAGCTCTCTATTATTTCTTATCTTCCATTGGCCACCTTTACATACTGTCCCAAAGATCTGTCAAAGGACCTTCCTTTCTCTGATCTGGAATATCCTCTCACATTCCTAGGACAAAACCCATGTTTCACTTGCATTAGTGACAATTAGGCTTTTTAACAAAACTTACTTTTAATTTATATAATATTATAAATATATATTTATTATAAATAAATATTATATATGTATGTATATGTTAGTTTCTTTTTGTTTTTACTAGTCAAACCCTGGGCCAGCTTCTGCCAAGAAGGTCATGCTGAGGAGATCTCCCAGAAATGTAAATAAAAGATCATCATTGAATGAAGGATCAAAAGTAACTGCCTCAAGGCAATTAAATTATGACGGACTGGGAGGGCGTTCTGCACCTGACACATTTCCGTCGGCCAAATTGAAATCCTGCCGCATTGTGTCTAGCCGACGAAAATAAATCTCTTCTTGTTTTTCTTTGTTATTAAATTAATGAAATTAAATGAAAGCCTACATTTATAATCTTTTCATATTTAAGGCAATAATTCTTCCAATTTCCTTCAAATTCTTTTAATTACATTTGTTATCTCTAACGTTTCGGGACAATTTTCCCATCCTCAGAGCAATCTTTATCTTCACTGAAATTATGCACATTTAAAATTAACTTCATCTATTGTACAATTATTTACCTTTCTTTTTTTGATGGGAAAATTGTCCCGAAACGTTAGAGATAACAAATGTAATTAAAAGAATTTGAAGGAAATTGGAAGTATTATTGCCTTAAATATGAGAAAATAAATATTTGTTTTTGTAAATATTTATATTATAATGCATTGATAATTAATTATGTTTATTGTGATGTTGATTAATTAATTAATAATTAATTAATTAATTTAGGTGAGAGATTGTAAATTAAAAATTGTCTTTTAAATAAATTTTGTTTTGTATTAATTTATCAAATGGATGGTTTTATTATTTGTTAAGGTTCACTCATAATTTTGTTTGTTTTGTTTGTTGTATTTATTATGATTGCCAGAGCTGTATAAAAACATGAGAAAAAATATATAAATATTTTCTAACAATGTAATTATGACTTAAATTGCAAAGATATAAGACTGATTGTTAAAATGTACTTATTTAAAAATAAATAAGAAAAATGGTTTGAGCTTTTATTAATCTATTAATACTTTGGTCTGCACCTTGCATGGAGAGGTTACAAACGTGGGGTCACTGATTTCAATGAAACTTTTTTGGTGATACAAGATCAAAAAATATTAGACCCAAGTTTAAAAATTCGTGTCAAACCAACAGGAACCAAAATAAATATTTTTTAAAATTTCAAACAAAGTTTGTGTTATTAATTTTTGTCTTTGCTTTCCCCAGATTTTTTGGTTATTATATACCAACCGATTCATTTACCATGCAAAATAAGGAAAAAATATCGATTATGCTATTAAATAAGTTATAAAGTATCTTAAATAAAAAAAACCTAAAGACACTTCCATTAAACTAGGCTATGTAATTTGTTGTTATGAAAAAGAAAGTTACATTCGTTTGTGGTGTTATTTAATACTCATAAATACGAATTTTTGTAGATATCAAGAATTGTATGTTTTAGTACTTGCTTTTCTAGGATTATTTTTTCTGCCATCAACCAAACCATTCATATCTTCTCAAAATGTTTTCCAAATTCAACACTTTTACTTCTGCTAGAAAGTTGAATTACTACTCTTCCAAACCACATTAATAAGTTTTGGATTCAATTCCTGTTTAAGTTAGAAATTCAGGGAAACTTCTCAAACATTTTTATCCTAATTTGTGTACGTTTATGGGGTTTATATTGTCGTGTGTAGTATACAGTGCCCTAAATCTCTGATAATTTTTGTGTGATTCAGTGGAGTCATTCTGAATTTATCTCAAATTTTGTGTTTGTCGATAAAATTTGATGAGTCCAAGTCTGGGCAAAAATTTTAATGCAACCTTCCTACCCTTATTCCCGTACTTTACCATACTTACAACTTTTCATTGCAAAATTCCATATTCCCTTCTTTCTGGAAAACTGCACTAGTCCGACCTTTGAATAAAACATCTAACCCTTCCTCACTGAACGAAACCCGTCCTATTTCTCTCCTTTCAAAACTGCTGGAACGCCTTGTCCAAAATCAACTTTCCAACTTCCTAGAAGAAAGTTCCCTCATCAATCCATTCCAATCTGGCTTTCGACCTGGCTATTTAATGCAATCTGCCCTCCTTAAAATAACCCATGACCTTCAAAACTTTACTATCATCATCCTTCTAGATTTTTCCAAAGCGTTTGATACAGTTGACCATGACATCCTTCTTATTAAATTGAAAAATCTTCCTCTATTCAACAGTGTCCTGCATTGATTCAAATCCTTCCTTTCCGTACGATCCCAATATGTAGTCGTCCCAGATCAACCTCCTTCTAAGATACTTACCCTTTCCAGAAGTGTCCCTCAGGGTTCCTCCTTATCTCCTACTCTGCTATTTACATTAATGACCTTCCCCCTCTGACCCCTCATGCCCATTATCACATCTGTGCCGACGGTTTCCAAATATACCTATCCTTCCCCCTTCTGACCTGTTAGCCACCACAAAAAAGCTTCAAGAAGACTTGAAAAGAATATATGACTGGGCAGGAGCCTAACAAGCTGAAGTTGAATGCGAAAAAGACAAAGGCAATCCTAATAGGATCCAATCACCTCCTTAAAACTGTTCCTAACATTCCAACCTTGTTCCTACATGATAATCCCATCAAAAAAATTGGAATAATCATTGATAAAACCCTTTCCTGGAAAAACCATGTATCCAATATGTCCCGACGTACCTTTTCCACCTTAAAACATTTAAATATCTTCCGTCACCTTTTTCCTTTTGAAACCCTTAGACTCCTGATCACCTCCTTAATATTTCCCCACTTTGACTATTGCTGCATGGTATATGGAGATAAATTGCTTTGTACCATTCATTTTCGGGATCCCATGGGACGCCCCTGTTTCCTGTTTTTATGAAGAGTTGAAGTGGCTTTATTCTTTCTACTGCCATAAATATTTCCTGACATCCTCTTCCAAGTCATTCACTCCCTTACATCTTCAATTTAAATCCCCTATTCACTCCCCCAATACCTGTTTCCAATCTTCAGATTTATATATAATTGTCCACCAAACCACTTTTTTCGATAAATCTTTTATTATTCGATCCTCGTCCCTATGGAACTCCATCGGTCGCTCCAATACTCTCCTAACTTTTACATTCCGCCTGTTCAATCACTTCCTTTCTATCCCTATAAAATTGTAAATAGAAATTTCTGTAAATATGTCTATATATTATTAGTTTATTTTTGTTTAATTGTTCTTTCATTTATTTATTTTCTTTTTTCTTATTAATCGATTTAAGTTAGAAGATAACTTTATTTTTTCTATTATATCTATTTGTTTAATTTTTAAATACATTTATATATATCTGAGCTCAAGTCTACATTTCTGTCATTGTTAATTATTCTTTAGGAATTTGTCCCAGAATAAATTAAAGATTATTATTATTGTTATTTATTTGTTTCACACATTACATAGTTTTTTGTAATAGTTGGGGACCAAATTGGTGAACCAAATATTACATTAATACATTTTCATAATTATTTTATATTTGTAAATTTCCGAATAATACTTGCTGTTCCCATGAATACTGCAATTTGCATTGTTTTCATTGTCATCAACAGCAAGTCCAGCTCACTCAAAGAAGATTGAAATTCTTCTGGTACTAACCCATTACATGAAATTACTAATGGTAGAATCCGGCTTGCCTTTTTTAAATCATACAGTTATTTTAATTCTTCCACCAATTCTACACATTTTCTTTTTTTTTCCGCCACTACCTGGTGCAGATTATCATCTGAAGGAACTCCAATTTCTATGATAGACACTATTTTCTTTTCTTTATCGATTATTAGAATGTCAGGCCTATTGTGTGGGAATTGGTTGATCCCAGGATAGTTTGACATTATGCTTGGAGATGATTGATTCAGGATTTGTATTTATAATACGGACAATAGTTATCGCTCAGTAAGTATTCTGTACCCGTCACTATTGTGCATCCAGAAGTTATATGCTGATTCGACTCCACTGATTTTTTTGTATAGGCGCCATAAGTCATTTATATTCTCTTCACAAATATGATATCTATACACCCTTATGTCTATTACCTGCTCTTGGATAGCCAGAAAGAATCCTTTGGTTTCTGGAAAAATATTGCCACTTTTAAGCCATGTTAAGGATGCCTGAGTGTCTATTCCTGTCCCTGTCAATGAATGATAAAATAGCCTATGCAGTGGTTTATCTTTCCATTTTTCAGTTAATGTAGCATAGTCTGCATCAATATTCGGGGTTCCAGCATTTAGTAGTTTTAGAGCTGTTTAATTTGCATCTAGTGATGCAATAGTTGAGAAGATGCTAGAGGCATCACCTCTGATGTAAACCCTAAGGTTATTTTCTTCTTCTGGGCATAACTTCAAGAGGCTGATGTGACCACGCCCTACCTTCTTGCTAGTAAGATATAATCTTGCCACTGATGATTTATGATGTCTTTTCCTTGAAAGTACCATTTGGACCCTAAAGGCTCATACACACAGAAGGCGATACTTAGCACGGCGACGTAGCAGCACAGTTGTATTACTATCTATTCTACTATAAAGGCTCATACACACAGAACGCTCTACGGGCGTGTATGCGATACATTCTACGTATCCTGAAACGTAAAACCTCAAATTTGAAGAGAGGGTTAAGCTTTTGAATTTTTTGGTTGATCACAATCGTTCATTATTGAAAATAATAAAACAAAAAGACTAAATAAATAATTAAAATAAAATAAATACACTTAAAAATAATAATAATAAGATAAAATAAATAAACTTTAATAATAAAATAAATAAATGAACTTTAAAAAATAATAAAATGAAAGTTCTGCAAAGGATCATTAGTCATAAACACCATATATTTTGTATTAGACTTTCATTATGTAGGAACTTCAGTTAAACCTAAATGAAGTTATAACCTGAATTATGAACATATTATTTGATTGCGCGTATGAAATTTTAATGTACTTCTTAGAATTAAATAACATTCTTTCATCACAATTGAAGGGCATCAAAATGATACAGAAGAAACGAATATTTCTTAGAAAATGAAATGTTCCCGAGTACATTATGTGAAATTTTACCTTTCTAAAAATGGTAAAACTATGTAGAGGTGTAAATTAAATTAAATTTTAGATATTTGTTATCCACAAAGTTAACCAATTTTATGTTTATCTGCTTTTCTAATATTAATATTCAACAAAAAAAATATTCTTTTATGACATATGATTTCTAGATAATAACTGTTTTTCTACTAAAAGTTACTGGCGATACTTTTGAAATAAAAAAGAACCAAATATTTATTATTTAACGATCAAGACAATAGAAGTCAACATATATTTACAATTAGAGTTCCTGATTATTTAAAAGATATGAATAAAATCATGATTGTTAAACCCTCTTGAATCCTTATTACAAATACCTATATTTGAAAATATTTTTAAAAAGTTTCATATATTTTATGTTTAAAAAGATTTCTTCTTTGTATGTAGAAAAAAAAATTCTTCTTATATATATAAA